CTCCCCTCACATGCCTTCCCAGCACCCTCCCAGCGCCTCGGAGAAAGGGGGCTTGTAGCTCCTCTGTGAGCCCCGGTGTGCAGCAGGGGCTCAGCAGGCATTCCCACAGCCCGGCTTAACTCTGCTTCTTTTCCCATTCCTGCACAGAAAGAAAAAAAGCAGGGGATGAAGAGACATCGCTGGAGAAGTGAGAACTGAGCCCTTCAAGCCCATCCCTCCCTAGTGGGGGCTTTGGACCATCCCAGCATCTTCAAAGCCTGGGGTCACTGCTGCCCTGGTCATTGCAGAGGCAATGCTGTCCCCCCTGCCCACTCATCCCTGCACCTTCCAAATCTCCCTGCACGCCAGGCTCATGCCAGCAGTGAGTGTCACTAAGCTGGGCCAGCGTGGCTGCAGGGGACCCTGGCAGTACCCTCTGCTTTTGGGGTAGGGAGCATCCCCAGTTCCAAAATTTTATGGTCAAGGGAGGAAGATGGGATGAAGGATGAGATTTCCTGTGGGGCCAGGGAGGAGAGGGGGAGCCAAGCAGGACCTTGGCCTTCCGCAGCACGTTTCCCTTGTTGGCAGGGAGGATGGAGGGACTTCTTTTCCTCAATTCAGCTGCACAGTTAACCGGGACCAAGTGCTCAGGTGGGTTCCCATTTGGCTTGCTTGTAGCTTCCTGTGGAAAAGGGTGAGAAAGGAGGAGGATTTAGGAGACCCAGGGAGCAAGGAGAGCCAGGAAAAAGAAAAAAAAAAAAGCACAAACTGTCATGATGTCAAAACTGAAGTGGCCAAACCTAATTGACGCTTTGCCTCCCACCTCTGTCCACGATAGGACAAAGCAGCAGGGATATCCCTTCCTTCCCATGTGCTGCTCCCCCCACCACCCCAAGCACCGTTGCTGGGGGAAGCTGGAGCCACGGGAGTGAGGAAGAAGAGATGTGTACCCCATTCTCTGCCTTGCTGGTCACAGCCAGCCCCAGGGCTGGCCCTCCTGCCAGCGACTGCTTCAGCTGCTCCTTCACTTCAGTCAGCTTGAGCTCCAGGTCGACCCGGCGCTCCTCCTTCTGCCGGCACTGCTCCTCCAGCACAGCCACCTGCTGCTCCAGGTCCTGCAGCTTCGTCCCTGCTTGCACAAGCACACACAGCTCAGCACCTTTGCCCAGGGATGACGCCACCAGGATGGAGATGCCACCCATCCTCCTGGATAAGGACACTAGATGGGGCTGCCAGCCCGGCAGCACGCTGCAGCCAGCCCAGCTCACGGCCACAATGCCACTGACAGCCTAGTGTCCACATCCCACCCCAGCTCTGCAACCTTCTCCCTGTACCAGAGTGCCTTTGAGCATCCTTGTCTGCAGCGCTTGGAAGGCACCAACCTACCCGTGCTGCCCTTCATGGCTTCCCGCAGCTCTCGCTTCTCTTTACGTAGCAACACGAGCTCGCTGCGGATCGATGCTTTCTCCTTCTCCAGCTTCTCCTTCTCTGTCAGAAATCGCCTGGCATCCTCCTCAGCCCGGTTCTTCCCGTACCTGTACTGATTGGCATCTGCACACACAAGGAGAGCCCATCATGAAGGCTCTGGCCCTGGCTGCACCAATGCCACCCACAATCCAGCTGAGCTAATCCAGCACAGCCCATCACCCATGTGCTGGAGCCAGCCTGGCCATAGACCCAGCATCCTCCCACACTGGCCGGGGTCCCCCCACTGAGGCTTGTGGCTGAGGGTCCCCCCTCACTTGATGCATGCCTCTTCACTTTGACTTGTGGGTCCACCCGCCGTGACTTCTCACTGCAGGAGGAGGCATGGCGCTTCACCTGGGCTCCTGCCGGCCGCCCTGGCTCCTCCTCGGCCTGCGGCAGGGATAGCAGAGAGAGCGTGCTGCAACACTCGCAGGGACATTGCAGCCTGGCCAAGGCTCCCCAGGGCATCTTCTGTAGCCTGGCCACAGTGATGGGAGAGGGCAAGCCCCTAAGCCATGCTCACCTGAACTTTCTCATAGGGGACATCATCGTACACCACACGGGAGGAGTCTGGCCGGTGGTCCTGGGAGGAACTGGCCCACCTGCGGGAAGAGGGATGTGGTCTTCCTTTCCAGCACATCCCTGATAGTCCCCCAGTGAGCCCTTCCATCTCTACATTCCTCTCCCAGCTTCACTCACAAGCACCCTACCCTACCCCATGTATCCCTTAAGTTCTTCATCAGCATTGATGAAACACCTTCTGCTTTCCATCCTGCCTGAAGGATTCCCTGCTTCAGCAACTGCCAGCCCCTGGCACGCTGGCTCTACCCAAGATCACAGCACAAACCATGTCCCAGCCTGTGCCTTTTCCAGGGAGCACAAAGGGCTGAGGATCTCCATCCCCAGCCCAATGCCCTGCCCTTGGCACAGCTCTTTCCCAGCCCGCAGCACAGCAGGAGGACAGCCTTACAGGTAGGAGTGCCTCACAGCCGTCACTATGTTGGCAATCGTCTCCACATCCACACAGTCGTAGTGCAAGGCCTCTGGTGCTGTCTGCGAGCCTGTCTCCACTAAGAGGAGACCCAGCCAGCGGCCCAGGTCTTCGGAGCAGCTTGCCTGCAGGAGAGAGAAAGGGTTGGGATGCATGTTCAGCTCCTGCCCCCTCACTCTTACTCCTGCTTCCTGATGCAAAGCCCTACTGCAGAGAAGGACCCTCTGACACAAAGCATCTGCAAGTCTTAGGAGGGTCCAAGAGATAGCACATGGGCACGTGCAGGAGGTCCCAGTTCCAAACCCCCAGTGACCCCCCTGCAACCTGCCAGCCTCCTCCCAGCCTCCAGCCCATAAATACCTGTGCGGCTGTCCCCAGCTCACCAAAACAATGCCCTGGGCTTCCTTAACGTGCAGGGGAGGGGAAAACAAGGCACTCTTGCATGCAAGCACTGATCATCACAGGAGATGCCTCCCTAGCTTGGCAACCCCCTCCTCACAGGACCAGCACACCCTGCCCACTCCGCTGCCCGCTCACCTCCAGCGCGGCCACCTCCTGCCCGTTGCGAAGGATGCGGAAGGCAAAGGGGTGTTTGGGGCCCAGCCCTGGGACCACCTCGCAGCCCCGGAGGACGATGGCATTCATGTGGGTCCGCAGGTCGGTGCGGTCCTTGTGGAAGTAGAGTGTGTTGCCCTTCAGGCGACACCAGCGCTCCTTCCAGCACTGGTTAACGAGGACACTGAGGTAGCCTGGGGGGTGGCAGGGCCAAGGGAAGGGTCTCAGCGCCTGCTCAGCCAGCCCTCAGGCAGGCTTTAATAAGACATGGCTGCCCACAGATTATGGCATGGCTCCCGACTCGTTTGGTCCTTATGTGCCTCAGTTTCCCCACAGGGATCTGGCCAGTACACCCTGGGCCCAGGAAGGTGCCAGCTTAGTGCCACACAGTTACCTGAGCCCATTTTCTGGGAAACAGGTGACCCCTCGCCCCTTCCCCACACACCACAGGATTCTGCAGAGCCAGGACCAAGCACCATTTCATATCCCAAGGGAGTGTCACAGCTCTCCATCAGCTCGGTGAGCTTGCCCCTGCCCCACAGC